TGATGGAACTGCTATACGATTGGACATGTCAGCACTACATTCACAAGCTCGTGCTTCCGATGCTGAGAGCCACACAACATGGACGCATGCCATGCACAACATTGCAAGTGCGGTGATTGTCGTAACTCTAAGGCTGCGTCTTCGAAGAGCCCGAATATAAAAAAGGAGAAGCAAGTGCGGCGGAAATGGTCAGAGATTTTTCCGCTAACAGGAAAGCTACCGCTGAAGAGCGACTTTGGCATTCTCGTCGCACCAGAACGTTTAGAAAACCTGCGGCCGAGGCCAGGATGCCAGCTACAACAGACCTCCCACCCACCACCACCTAATAAGTGCCATTCATAAGCATCATCAAATTGCGCAAAATTCATCGTCTCACCTGACGCGTGGCCAGCCCTGCCGCTTATAAAGCCACCTGCTGAGCCACAGCATCCCTCGTTGAAGATTACTTCGGAGGCATTAGGTGGCGACAGTGAAAGAAAGGAAGCAATAACCGTGGTGAAAACCCTCATGAACCTTATAGAAAGACCCCTAAATAATATTCAGATTCCGGCTGCTCATAGTGCCCTAAAATATTGAAATTCTAACCCTGTGCTAGCAAGTCTGGAAAAGTACCATGGTTTTTCATCTGCAGCCTATTCTTGAAGAAATCAAAGAGGCATGGAATGTCCGAAGACTTAAACTCTGCATATCGGATATTCGGCCATTTCTATTTATTAATCATTTTCCGACTATCGTCATGTGTGAAACATGCTTTGCAATGCAATACATTTGTCCAAATACGAAGCTTTCAAGTCTGCTGTCTGCAATGACCATAGCAAGGTCACCGTTTCATCAGGTTCCATATAACTGACATATATTGATTGATTGATTTGTGTGGTTTAACGTCCCAAAACCACAATATGATTATGAGAGACGCCGTAGTGGAGGGCTCCGGAAATTTCGACCACCTGGGGTTCTTTAACGTGCACCCAAATCTGAGCACACGGGCCTACAACATTTCCGCCTCCATTGGAAATGCAGCCGCCGCAGCCGGGATTTGAACCCGCGACCTGCGGGTCAGCAGCCGAGTACCTTAGCCACTAGACCACCGCGGCGGGGCAACATATATTGAGCCAGTAACACCTAATTACAGGAACCAACGCATGTGCCTGCCGAAAAAATCACTTGATTTTAGCTCTAGTTGGTGTATATATTTCACCTTCAGGCCACTTTAACCCAATAAAATTAACCCTACATATTGGTGGCACCGATACTCGGCAACTTTCTGTGGCAGCACAGCCAAAGCTACGTGGGCAGTGCTCCCAACATGCACTTTTTCGCACGACCACTATGAAATAAATACTACATTAATTTGGCAGGAAATAACTAAAGTGTTCATTTTTAAGGGAAATACCACGAAGTTTCTTCGAAGCATTGACATTTATTTCAGAAAAAAGTGCAGCCGAGCAGGCACTTGGTTATTGGAAAAACACAAAGGCAAGAAACCATCTCCTAACTTTCAGTGCATATATATTTGAATGGCATCATTGTTTTCCTTCTTTTAGACAGACATACAGGGCTCGAAGAACTTTTTGGAGACGCTCAAAATATTTTAGGGGACGGGAAGGCAACAATTTAAAGCAGAAATCTTGGCACTGATCAGTCATGTGAGGGCTGCTGACGTCCATAAATCCAAGTGGCTGAACGCCATTTTTACTCGATCAAGAACGCTGTTTTTTTCACAGTTAACAGGGTGACATACATGAGTGCGTCTGTTGCCTAGGCAAAGCGTAAGGAACAACTTCCTCCTTAGGCGCCGACAGGAGCGGTGTTGCGATACGCGATGTTGAGCGTTATCGTATCAACAATATTAGGCAGCCGAAACACCGACAACGTATAAAACACACTTTAAAAAAAGGGTCATTGCTTTTATGTACACTTTCGAATCGCACTTTTTCTTCCACGCAGCTGGTGTTGCTGAAGGCTGGCTGGTGGCCGGTGTCACTTTTAGGGCGGCCATAGCAATTAGAGTCCCACTATCACTGATGATATCACTCGCATTCCCATTTTCAGTTATTGCACGTGCGGGAAATAAAATATTTCACGACGCGCCACTTTCTTCGTTTCTCCTTGCTCGATGAATACAGATCACTTAGTGAACACACACTCATGATCGCTCACAAGCTTTGGCGTGAACTTGCTGCAACCGAGTGACGCCATCGTTGTTTACCATGGCAGGGGAAAGGTTAAATGGCACCAGAAAACCAAAAAACTAGAAACAGCAAAGTAAAAAAAACCTGCATAGATGATGCTTCCTAATAATACTGCGAAGAATCTCATACGTATTACATTTTTTTCTTTTTATATTTTCTAATATAAAACGCAGTATACAAAAAAGCAGCGTTTGTGGACTGTAGCAGAAGCCTAGTAAATAAGGGTGTGCTTGGGCTTCGTAGTCTTCATTATGCTGCCACAGAAAGTTGTCGCCGAGTTAGGACTTGGATTATTACACATGATTTCAAAGCTTATCGCAGTCTATGGAGAATCATGACGATGAATAGGGGGGGGGGGGCGTTGAACACATGTGTCCGTCTTTGCATCTGACCATAAAGTAGGCTTTCTGTTCTTTTTGGTTTGCTGCTTGGCGTCACGCCACTTGGTTCTTTATAGGCCCGGGGTGAACCCTTACGTAGGCAACGTCCAAACAGAACCGCCGCGATGGATTGCACCCACGGGCGAATGATTTTGCCACGCATTGCGTAAGACGCGCCAGACTGGATGGCGTCGATTGCATCATCGGGCTGGAACCGTACCCGTGCGTGGTAAGAGTTTGCCGTGTTTTGAGTAAGACACACCGGTGCCGCCGGGATAGATGTCGTCGTTGAGGTGATGGCGTCAGGCAGGCTCGCTCATTGGCCTTAACACTGGCTGCTTTTGCAGAAGCAATGACGTTCGGTCTGGACACTCAGGCACAACAGAGTAGGCTCTGTTACGTTTTTACGGGGTCCCACATATAATATCTGCCAACGACGTAACTTCTGTTTCTTGTACCATAACTGCCGTGGTACAGTAGTTTGAAAACAATGACACCCATGAAAGTGATCACATCCCCACCTATATAAGGATTTAAACCCTAATAAAGTCGCAGATGAATGCCTCTTCGCGGAACGACTGCTCAAAGTACACGTCATCCAGAGAGCAGCGGCGTGAGTAAGATAAAGAATGTTCCCTTGAAAGCCTAAAATGCATAATCGAAGAGACTACTGAAGGGGCCACTAATATGGTGCACTTTCTTCACAGTTTCGCGAATACGAAGCAGAGTTGGTGCGGCTCTGAGCTATCCGTCACCTTGCTGAATGACAATATACGAGCAAGAAATGCTTCTACGACTTCAGGGAGGCGAAATGTCTGTAAACGAATATTTTGTATTGATCAACGCACTCCACTTGCTATGATGGAAGTCATGATGACATACAAGTCACTTAATCCCAACAAGCTTCTATCGCAAATATTGAGAATCGTTCGCGACCAGTGAACATCACCAGAGCAGCATCGCCCATTCAAATTCCTGGCTCGTCACGAATGATGGCGTGAAATCGACGCAGAAAAATCTTCTGCGCTGGGGTTGTCAGTAAGGTTTTTAAGGTTACCGCAACTAATTTAAAAAAACAAAAAACGTGCGGATGTCCACAGATCTCCGGATACACAGTTTGTATTTATTGTGTAGCTTTAGGCTGTTTCAGAAGCATGAAAGCTTTCTTCGTCTCCTAGACATTATGGTGCCGCTACACAGCGCTTTCCGACCTCAAAAAGCAGCTTGGCCTGCCGTCCGGACTCTATACAATGACTCGTGGTGGAATGGTGTGAACCTTCCTTCATGTAAGTTTAATCATCCAGTAACCCTCATTAAACTTGGTAAATCTTCTCTGGACTTCGCCTGATGTTGCCCCATAAAGCTTCGCAGCTGTTTTGGAAAGGCTTGGAAAGGTGATGGAGAGGATGGTTCTGACTTAACCTAGAGTAGTACCTGGAGCAATACAAAATACGCACTGATGTTATGCCTGGCTTTCGGTGTGAACGGTCTTCTATAGATAATTTCATTGTGCGAGTTAAGTCTGCAACATTGGATTGAGGGACAACGTATAATAATAAATACTACATGTATTTGGAACACAGACATTCTTTATTCAGATTGGTACGATAACGCAGCGTTGTAGTTGTGGCGTTGTACGTGAAGCTGTGGTCCTGAGTCGCATTCTGTTTGAACTTACGCTCATTGGCCTTTTTTTATATTGTGACTGGGTCGATGCATCTGTAAATATTTGAGGGACCCAAACGCTTCACCTTTAGAAGTTGAACGGGAGAGTGACATCCTACTCCTAGAGCATGCTTAAAACACCTAGTGCATGAAACCTTTTTGATTTCGCTATGCACCCACTACATGACATTAAGGAAACTGGTGCAGTAGCGTGTGTTCCTTTTGTAGTGGGGTACCGGCTTTTAACCCCGTAGTCATGATAATCACTTATTATGACGCGCGTTGGCAGTGGACGCTTTTATCACGCACTATTACTGCAATATTTCATGGTGAATTGTGAAGCATGTGTACAGGAAGCGTGTGTTCGTGAATTATAAAAGATACTTTCACTGCAATTCCAAGCAGAGGAAGTTCTTTTCACTGTTAACACAAGCAGCGCAATGATCTTGTGGTAGAACATGCACTTGTCATGCAAACGAACCAAGAACAACACACAAAAGTGCTAAATGGTCTTAAAATACACCTTTGTCGGAGGAAGGGCCTTGCGACACTGGCTGACACCATGGTCGGCACGCAATCTATTGAGACGTTGTTGCGCATAGCAATTTGTTTCAGATACAGACTATCAACAGTGTCATTTATTCTGCGGTTGTTCTCCTTTTGTTTGTTTGTTTTTCTTCTTCTTTTTGTAACGCCTCTTTTCTGTAATCTCTCACTTCACTCACCGCCTTCTCCAGCACAAGGTAGTCAGCTGGTCTCAGACCTGGCCGGCCTCCCTGTTCTTTCTTTCCTCCTGCTCATCCTCCTTCTTCTTGACCTTCATACTGGCCTTATGAGCCTTGGGTTTGACCCACGGAGCTCTTTTTTAACAAAAACTGCGATCCACTGAAAATGGCTCGACGCCTTCGCAGATGTTTGTTAGGCTTCCTGTCGCCATATTTTTTTTACTGGGTGAATGGTTATCAGTAGAATACCTGTTTAGAAGACGACAGCATTGTGATACAATGTGCAAGGAACGATTTTTTATACGGCTTTTCCATAGAGATAATTGAATGGCTGACTACCATGCCGTGAAAGAGATAAGCGCACGTTTTTCTTTTTATCTTTAACCACCTATTTTAGAGACGCGTTGTAATATTAGGCTATCATACTGTAATGTAATTGCACTCCTTTAATAATTACATAAAGCACTTAGTTTCTCAAAGCGCAAAGCAGGTATGCTGGATTTCAATTGTGTCAAGTGCCTGCTCATGTGTGTATCATTATTCACATGCTCATATTTTATTTGACTTTTTTTATAACCTTATGATATGAATCAACGCTGAAGAGACATTTGAGAAGAATTGAAAACAAGCCAACACAGAGTGATTGTGTGTGTGTTCATTTTTGTCGGTGTGCATTTGAAATGTGCCTCTCTGCGATTCTAAGAAGGATTCTGTTTCTAGAAAATGACTATGTTCTATTTTATTGTCAACTGTGAAGGAGTGATCAGCTCAGCACAGGGCTGTATCCTTTGTAATGCTTGTATTAAGCATCTCATTTTTATATCTGGCACAAAGTGCTTTATTTCTAGAAGCGTTTCTCAACTGATTGTACTTGATTGCTGACAAGAAGGTGATGGCACCAGCAATATGCATTATAAATGAAAAGCGGCAGCTCATACTGAAATATCCAACAAGTGAAAATGCTATGCTTTTAATGGTATATATTGAGAAGGGGCGGTAATAGCTGGGAAAAAACTTTCACACATTCAATGATAAAAGGCTGAAAAAACAAAGTTTGAGCTGCAACTGTCCATACAGGCTTGTCAAACATAACTGTGACCACCTGTTATTGTCGCAGGTGTCCTGCGTCTAGTTTTTGTTAAGGTCGAGTGCTTGAATGACTCAAATATCATACGGTAGTTGATACCGAGGAAAACTCATCGTTGCAATCGGATGTTTCTGAAGCCTTCTTTATCTAAATGTCTCTATTGTAAAACCACGTACGTAATTATGCTAGAAGGAAATCATTTAGGCACTTGTTTACATCTAACATTATCCTCTTGCTAAGCAACAGTCATGGAGGTTTCCCGCCATATTACGTTTTTGCTGCCATGAACAACTAGAGACAACGTCTTCATGCGCATACTTATAAAGGTGTGCATGAACGATTCCCGAGCATTATGCTTCTTTGTTGGCTGCGTGGAGCCCAAACAAATATATATTACAGTGAATCGCTCTACAGTTTTAGAGAAGCAAAACCACATTTGTGAAATTTTTATTCTTCCATCTTTGAAATATTTCTTCGCTCTGTTCCTCTTAAATCTGGACGGCACTCTCCGTTTAGACATATCTGCGGGATGTGGAAAGAAGCATCGTTAAGAGATTTATTCATCACATAGATTCTATTCAGAGAAGCTCGTCGTAAAGATTCAGGTACATTTGTACATGGGGCCTTCTCGAATTGGCGACAGTGGTGGCGTAGCTTTTCTTAGATAGGAATTGGCGAAAAATTTGAACAAACTTCTATATGACGAAAAAAAAAACTGGCTGCAAGAAAGGAGGACTCCCTGGTATAGGCATCAGACATGAACGGGAACATTCTGGTAAACTCCTAAATTACAAACCGCGCGGCCTCTCAAGGTTTAATATTTCGCAATAAAGCCCCATGTGTTCTCAGAGGTTGGTATTCAAATGTCCTAGGAAGTTGCACGGCTCAATTGGAGACAGCGCAATTTTACGGCAATGGCCCGGTGGATCGTTGTTATACGTATAACACCGGGAGTCATTTTTGATAACAGTCTTGTTTCGTCAGACATGATCTGTTTTTTGCCAACTTCCCATCAGTTATTGCAGGTTCTAGCTGTAGCTGCCATGAAAAAAAGGCCCCATGTAACCCCCCCCCCCTTTCCTAAGAATGTTGCTCTTGGGCATACGATTTCAAAGGTGAATCAGTCTCTATAATGCTTCACATACGATCTAATGACAGTCATTGATTATAAAGGTAGTTAATTATTACACAGTCTTCGTGACGCAATTCACATCAAAAATACATGCTGACAAATGAAACTTGAGTTAACAAACAGGTGCCACTAGATGCCCCGTAATTGTAGGATTTCCTCCAGGCTACTGAATCCACCTCGAAGTTTGCGTGGCTCTTTTAGTTAGCTTACTGAAGGTGCCTGTCTGTTTGCCGTTCTCTATAGCAAACATGTTGATTCCCAGCTTGACTGCTATTCGACATTGTTCGATGGGGCCTCGTGAAGGCTTCTCGTAAAAAATATATTGACAGCGTAATTAACTCGCCGCTAACAGCTAAGAATGCTCGCCACTATCCGAGTCGTTGTGGTTTATAAGTACAAACTGCCGAAAGGGCAGTTAAATCTTTGTAATGTTTTCGCGACTGGAGCAAAAAATTACAGCTTTGCCGCAAAGGGGAAGCGATCAACGCGATAGCAACAAATTGGGACGTCACGCGCAGAATGGAAGGCAGATCGAAACGTGCCCCCACTTCTGACGCACAAATGACGCACGAAACGTACTCACAAGTACAGACGCATGCGAATAAGTGTCTCAGTTCTTACTTCACAGTGTATGAAAAGCGCGCGCTTTTCGCAAACGGAGACTGCAATGATTGCAGTGACATTTGTGCGCAGGTAACTACAGCAGAATCATTCCAGGTGAAACCCGAGGCCAGCGAAGATGTACGATCCTCCCCTCCTCTTTACCGACAGATGGGGCGCGTGATGAGCGTCGCTCCCCTCCTCTAAGCGGGGCAAAATACGCGTGGGAGATTAGAGCGCGCGCCGCGTGATGTTGCGACACGCGCTTATTGCGCCATCTCACTGGTAATGCTGAAAGAATGATAATTAATCCCGAGATTATCGTGAGCAGCGGTAAGTGGTAGATATAAATAGCTTGCCGTTTGAACGGCAAGGGAAGTGCTCCTTGGTGGCTCAGTGGTTAATGACTCGCACTCACGCTTGAAATAACCTATGATCGAATCCGCGCGCAGGAGTCTTTTTCTAGCTTTTATTTCTCGCATTTTCATACATATAGATCCGTATACATCACCGGTGAGTGACGGAGACGCCGGCGGCCAAATTAAGCCGAGTGTGTCTATATAATTGCTATTGTAATAGAACGTAAGTAAAGGATAAATAATTGAATCGGGAAGTTGGTATGAATCCATCTTGATTGGAAGCGCACCCAATATTACACAGAACACACAACACAAGCGCTTAACTTCATTTAAAAGTTTATTGCAAACGTCAAAGTTTAAAAAGGGGGTGAAAGAGAAAAAAATAATGATAAAAGACAGACCAACAAAAAGTACACATGCCAGTCCCATACATTACTTATCTGTTATTATCTATCACCCCATTCGATAAACAAAGTTCTTTCCACGTGAGCGAGATAGAGGGTGTTCTAACGCACGCAAACTAATCACGTGTCGTTTCCGCAGCTTCTACTATCAAACGGGTTAATAAATCTCGGTCCCGATATAACACGCAAGTAAGGGCACTCTGTAAACAACCGACAGTTCACGCTCAACATATTTATTGCGATGCTTAATTTGGCATTCTTTCTTTTCTTTCGAAACAGGAAACTTTTGTGACATATTTTTGACAGTTTCTCTGGAGCAGGCGTGACCACTCAGATGCCCACCTAATTTCCAATCTTTTTTAAGATTGTGTGCCACACCAATCTTGTGTTGTGTGTTCTGTGTAATAGTGGCTGCGCTTCCTACCAAGATTGTAAGTACAGAATCGTCCTCACTGGGTACGAAGTCTCTACAGCGCGGTCGCACTCCTTCGGGTGTCAGTGCACATTCATCGTAGTTGAACGGCGAAAGCACACATGCATTGCCCAATCTGTTGTCAAGCGCCAATGCGCCCTGCTAGCTTTGCCCTGAAGTACACCTATACTCCGTTTCATACATCAGGTGCAGTGCTGTGAAGGCTAGGCAAGTACTCCGTAAAGAAAACACGAGGTGTTGCTCCGCGCGGTATCGTAGCCGAGTGGTCTGACGCGTCGCTCCGGAGAGTTCACCGTAGTTTTGAAGTGCATGGGTTCGAATCCACGTGGTGCCATTTTTTTTATAATTTTTGCGAGTTCAATTCGAAATCTTGTTTTTTTTTCAGTAACTTCAACTTACTTGCACGCGTAAGTGAACTGCACGTATCTATTCTTTTGTAGCATACCGTGTTCCCTTGTGAGAGCCGGAACCTGCTGAGCTGGCACCGAGGTTTGACCAGCATGGCGATTTTGTCGCGATTATACCGCATTGTCGGTTTACCTCGTTGATGTGAGCGAGTACTGCGTGTAAGATGACGTTAATTCATTGATTAGGTAGCACAGCAGCTCCAATGAGGCTGGGTTAATGAAAAGGTGCTCACCTTCAACTTTTGTTTTCGTCATTGCCCCGATGATCCACTTTTCTGTGCCGCTCTTTAAACACTCAGCAGGTTATTGATTATAGCGGGCCGCCGGCAGAGAAACCTGTTCAGATTTAGCAAAACAGTGCGGAATCGACCTTCCACTGCACTCTGCGGTATCCCGACGCACTTCGTGCGAGTAGCGAATGATATGTTATTCAGGGAAAAAGGGAAGAAAGCAAATTTGTGTAGCTCGGAATAGTGATTTTGGCACACAAACGCATAAAACATTTCCTAGACTTGGTATTCGCCCGTTTACTGTCTTAATATATGCGACATTTTTGTGAATTGTTATGCGCGATTTATTTCTTCAGTATAATTCCAACCCATCCTCCTTCCCGCAAGTAAGAGTTCCTTTTTTATCGTTCAAAAGAGAGTTTCAGCTAGGCTGTTATTCGGCAGAAACTTCCAGTGTCCAGTGTCCTTGCTCACAACACTCAGCACTTCCCGCACAGATTTCTCCGGGAAACGCATCCTGGTACGGGCGTACACATTTGCAATTACTTGCTTGGCGTGCTTTGACAGCTTTGATGTGCGAAGCTTCGAAAAAATTCGCGCAGGAGAGGTGGTCGAGGACGCAGAGCTGGACGCCATTTTTTCGAAGCTGCCACAACAAGTAAAAAAAAAATTGCCCGCTGCTTCCCTCGGGGGAACACTGAGGAGGATGCGGAGCATATAATTGGTTAGCGGGGTGTTAAAGTGCGCCTTACTTGGGTCGATGGCTAAATTGGTTAACGTGGTCGTGAAATGGGGTGTTAAATTGCGACTTACTTGGGTCGATGGCTAAATTGGTTAACGTGGTTGTAGGAGGGGGTGTTAAATGAGTGAACACGTACACACGTATGCGAAAGGGCGGCGCTGGTCGAAGGGACGTCGATCATTGTGTTTGTGGATTCGTTGGAATTCATTTCACTGCGACCTCGGACGTCGACGCGCCGTACAAACCAACCGACGAGCGGCAACTGAGCGAGCGAGCACCGACCTTGAGTATATATACAGCGCGACGGCGCCTGCACTGTCAGCTGTCGAATGTTCGAGAAGGGGGAGAAGCGCAACGGCGCATGCGCGCGCGTCAGCTGCCGGATGTTCTCGAAGCGCGACGGCGCATGCGCGCGCGTCAGCTGCCGATGTTCTCGAAGCGTGACGGCGCATGCGCACTACATTATACAGCTAGCGAATGTTCGTGAAGAGGAGAAGCGCACGCGGTGTAAAGAGGAGGAAGGGTGCACAGATGGTGGAGGAGTGAAGCGCGCGCGGTGTGTAGAGGAGGAAGGGATGCACAGATGGTGGAAGAAGGAGGAGGAAGCTTGCGGACGGCGCCGCACTACAAGCCTCAAGTATTAGATGCTCCGCATCTAAAACGGCGGCGCGGGTCGCGCGGAGAGTGAAAACCTGATACGAAAGCGACAAACATAAATTACCAGCTCGCATATTTGGATTGTTTATCCGACAACACAGCCGTTTGTTTTTTAACCTGATGAAAAATATGTATGCTTAGAAGTTTCCCGAGAAGCATTTATTGATTCTCGTACACCCCAAGCGACGCACTACTTTTTGGTCGCGGCAGTACACAGCGCAAACAAGAGCGCTAGCTTTGACAGCGTTGCACATGATGTATGAAACGGAGTATAGTGATAAGCAAGCGAGGAGCGATAGAGGGCACCGCAATGTCATTGCGGGAAAGCACGCGTCGCTTACACCGGCGTGATGTGGTTTTTTGTGCAAAGTATCAAACTTCGGGTGCGGGGGTAGAATGGGGCCCGCGGATGTTTCACTAGCGGTCCGCATCTTCTTCAAGAGTAAAATGTTATTGAAGGTGCTAAACGGCGCTCGCATTAGTTACTAGGCTATCATGATTATTAAAGCGTTATTCGGGTAAGCTGCAGAGGCGGGACTGGTCTAAAGCATTTGTTTTTATGAGGCAGTATACGTGGTTCACATGTATTAAAAGGTAACCGTGGGACAAAATGTAGTGTATTTTGGAATCTGCATCCAGATCTTTTACTATGGAAACCAGTGTCAGTATATTTCTTGAATTGTGACACTAAGGTCACTTCAGAAACGTTTCACATATGAGATAATTTACATGCGGAGTTTAACGTCCCAAAACCACTATATGATTATGAGAGACGCTGTAGTGGAGGGCTCCGAAAATTTCGGCCACCTTGGGTTCTTTAACGTGCACCCAAATCTGAGCACACGGGCGTACAACATTTCCGCCTCCATCGGAAATGCAGCCGCCGCAGCCGGGATTTGATCCCGCGACCTGCGAGTCAGCAGCCGAGTACCTTAGCCACTAGACCACCGTGGCGGGGCCACATATGAGATATGTGGTCTTTTAGGTAGTAGTGTAAGATTTCACGTTGTTCAGCCCCCCTGCTCCTACACCCCCATTTCAACCCATTGTTCAATGTCCTGGCCTAGTGGCACGATATAATTTTTGTGACTGTGGGCCGCTAGCTTACGTAAGTGCGATACCTCGGCCTGTTCTTAATATTTTACTGGCACAATTTAAGTTGTTTGCATGTATTTCGCCAAAATCTCAATATTACAAACAGATTGCGTATTTGACACTACAAAACCCCTGGACATTTATGAGACCTGTACAAGGAGAAGAGCAAGGTTAATTTCGACTAATGCCCTGCATACGCATAGCATGTACAGTAACACTAATTTTGACAATTTATGGTTATTCAACGTTGCGAAACAGCTGTATTCCTTCTTTTGAAATACCATAGCCTGGTTATGTAATTACAGAGGATTATAATTATAATCCCTACTGTGAGACAACCAAAACCGAATAAAGTACGACGAGTAAAAGAACGCCTTGTGGCTTTAGAATACAAAAACAATCCAATCAATCTCATCGTGGCTTCAAGAGCGACATATCCTTATAAAGTAATTCCAGCCTCGTCGCAGTGTCGATAGCAGTAACAAGAATATAGAGTCCACGATAGCTTGGCAGTTCTCTTGCGACTGGAGTTGTCTTAAGCAGTATGGCTACTAAAAGGCGCGTGCCGTAGCTCTTTTTTTATTTCGCGTATCAGTTAACTAGTCGAGCTGCTTTTTTTTTTTACGCGAGACGCGTTTCTGTGCTTGCATTTTGAGTGTATTGCAGCATTGGTGATTTTGTGGTAGCGGTGACAAATATTCTCGTGCTCACACGAAAACACTGCGCAAGAATCACAGCATAACTAAAAATTGATAGTCTTCGGCTATCAAAAAAAAAACGACAGCAAAAGCATTGCACGGTCCCTTCAGTCAGTATGGTTTGTGTTCATTCCGTCTTACCGCGAGCACGAAGTGTTACCTGTTGGCATGCTTCAATTAATGCGGAGCATATAGAAAGTGTGAATACTAGTAACTTCATCGGCATCGTATGCTGAGGAACCAGGGCACTCGTAGGAGACGAAATTAACGAGTTCTTTGATACGAAAACCCGCCTTAGTACCTGTACCTTTGAAACTGTCGTAACTTTGAAGACAGTCCCGTTGGCTCAAATAAACGTTCTCAAGGCCATTTGGCAAATTACCAAGGCGCAACACTGTATAGTTGAGTTATATCGAGCTCAGTGAGCAGCATTTACGCACAACACAGTACATATTAAAAAAGCAAGCTTGTGAACCACGAGAAACAAGTAAAGAATGGGGAAAGCGTATGTGTATGATTACCATATGACTGATTGCTGGTAACTGAAGTTTTATTCACATCTTTTTAGATCACAGATAAGTAACGTTACAGTTTCTCAGTAAATGGAAACATATCTATGTAAAGTTATTTTTTTATGAGGGTCCCATTACTAAAAGAACTGCTTTGTGTATTGTTGAAATTCCCAACGCGCTACTGTGGTCTAATGGTTGTGGTTTTAAACAGCTGACCCGCAGGTTCTGCGATCTGAATTCTGGCTGTGCCGGCCACATTTCCGATGTAGAGATAGACAGGCTTGAGACCAGTGTGTTTAAATTGAAGTGTGCATAAAAGAACTCCATCTTGTTTAAATTGCCGGTCTGCTTCATACGGCGTCTATCCCAATCAAATCTTAGTTTTGAAAAGATCAACATAAACCGCTGTTACTGAAAAGTCTCCCCATTATCTAAAGCACTCCAAAACCAAAAGGCCGACTTATTACAAAAATGAACTACACACGAGTGAACAGTCTTATACCTATAGTATCATAAGTTTGTGGAATATTTTGGCTGTCCTATTACAAAAATATTGCGAAGGCTAAATGCATACCTCAAACTTGAAATATTTAAACCGTTTAAGAATGGTTTTGAATGCCAGGTGGCTAAACAAAAAATCACTGAAAAATAAAATAAGCAAGTGCCCTATACACCTCATAAGGTACTGCCTAAGCTACAGGATAACATACCTTTAAAATGCTAGCAAAAGACATAGAATTCTAAGAAAAAGCGTGATCAAGTGGAAGTGCAAATGCACGGCTCATATGTGTCATGTTACGGTAGTCAGCAGAATTGGTGATATTGTATTTGTTGAAACAGCAGCAATGGTAACATGTACTGCCAGTGTCATGTATTCTATATATAATTTTTTTCTGAGAACTTTGAATCAGGTAGCCGCTCAAGAAGTTTTCAGACCTTTGCTATGTAAAATCTACAAAAATGCATAATCCTTCATACATGCTTGGGATGATCCAGACAAGTAGTGCCATCCATGAATAGAAGCTCCCACTTGCCGTGAGATGACACACCATGAACTTCCGGAACATAACAGTAGCCTTGACAGTACCATCTGTACATTTCCTACAGTGAAAAATGTCCCATTTGTTCATAATCATTATACATTTGTTGTAAAATACTGCTGCACGCCCGTAACGTGCACGTGCTACATGCTACATGCACGTAACAATGGCATTATATTATGGAAGTTTCCATAACACGAACCTTCTCTAGGAAGTAGGTCCCCCGAACTTCCGGGTACTTCATTTCACATTGCTTATTTAAGGACAAATAATCCCCAGGCAACTCATAATGAGTTACCCAGTTCAATGGGAACTCTTTTGTATTATTAATATGCAAACAGCCTGCCTCGTATGCCCTGAAATAGAAGATTTGTTGTATTATTAAAAAAACAATGTTTCCTATATTGTGGCACTAGTTCTTGTATCTTGTATCAGCAGTTCTTGATGCGCTCGTTCGCCTCCGCTGCACGCTCGAGGCACTCTAACACAGCGCCTCCAAAATACCATTCATCGTTTTCTGCGCAGAACATCAAATTAATTGTTCACTCTCTCCACACGCAAGACTTTCGTCTTTCGACGACATTTGCAGAACACATGCAGATATGGGGCCAATTTTTTTTTAATGAGAGCAGTCCGTCGCGAAGTTGAATTCTTTGAGAGAGTGACCAGTCAAACATCAACAAGCACGTTCGTGTGACAGAGGGCATAGGGTCACCTATGAGAAACGCGCAGCATCGACAGGTGTAGCGGCACCTGGTGGTGCGCTGCCAGCGCCGTAAGTGGCAGCTACACTTTCAACAAGCGTGCTGCGAGTTGGCGCGTTTTTATCCGCTACGCCCGGGTTGTAAGAACGGGTCTGCGATATTGATAGATGTAATAAACCAGGCAGAAAATCAGAAAGGCAGCACTTTAGCATAATTTAGGAGCTCTATAGAAGACACAAGACATGTATGGAGCCTGAGCGATGATGTTTGCAACGCGCCATAAGAAATTCCAGTATTTAAAACAGCAATGTGCCGTGCAAGCCAAGGTCAATGTGGAATTATACGGCGTTACCACTGATGGTTGTGTCAACACCTCAAAGTGTAGACAGTAGAGCAGGTAGAACTTTGCCGGTTGCTGTAGATATACATTATCACTGAGAAATTGAATGTGTTTAATCACCTCCTATTATAGAATAACTGCAACCACTCAGTATACAGGGTTAACAAAAATACTTCTAAGCTACGGCTTCTAATCAGTGCATGCCGCTCATGTGTTTCTAGTTTATGTTCAGTCGACCGGTGTCATGAGTAGTGCGAGTTGGCTGAATTCTGTGACATATACGTACTGTAGGAGTGTTGCAGAAAAGCTGTTGTGGTCGAGATATCGGTGTTTTGCGGGTATAAAGACTAGAAATCGAAAGAAATAGATAGAAAGAAAGGAACGCTCAACAAAATGAAACCGAGAAAGCGACTACTGAGAGCGATAGAAACAATACAGAAAGAAAGAAAGAAAGACATCGAAAGAGACAAAAGAGGCGGGAGAAAGAAAGAACGATGGAAAGTACCCACTAAGTCATCGTAATTTGTGGAAGCCTGGTAATACTTACTGTGAATTTATTCTTGATCCTGCGGAGCGAGGAAGTACCGCGTAAGCATGTGAAAGGCATTTGTACAATTATTCGAAATAAATCATGACCATTAGTAACTATGCCGGAGCCTATTCTAATGGGATGGAAGCTTTAAACCACCCACTCATACACAATCGGATTTGTGCGACACCTGGTTGTTTCACGTTTATATGACGCTAGGTACATCTTTCGGCGTGAAGAAAGTTCCGCAACCAGCCAACCAAGAAGCCTCTATAGGAAACTTTTGCGATGAAGTTCAAAGCATGACTTGATGTTCGAATACTCGACTGCCATGCGGAGGGACTGGGCTTAATCCAGATCAGTTCGGGATATTAAATGCGTAACATTTCTTGCAGAACTGCGGCGATTTTGAGCGTATCTATCTATCTATCTATCTATCTATCTATCTATCTATCTATCTATCTATCTATCTATCTATCTATCTATCTATCTATCTATCTATCTATCTATCTATCTATCTATCTGTCTGTCTGTCTGTCTGTCTGTCTGTCTGTCTGTCTGTCTGTCTGTCTGTCTGTCTATCTATCTATCTATCTATCTATCTATCTATCTATCTATCTATCTATCTATCTATCTAGCTGCCAACGACTTTTAGCTCTCCTGGCCGTTCGGATTATGGTATCAATACCAAACTTGGTATGATGTAACATGACTGTATGATCAACATAACTGACTGGTCATAACATGAAAATCATGGCATGTATGTTACAAATGTCATGATTTACATGTCAAAGTCTTACTGCTTTTGCAATGGTTTTATTCACATGATATGTTGCAAAACTGGTATGGTATGACAGGACTGTATGGTGAACAGAAGCGTAAGACCCTAACATCAAAATCATGGCATGCGTGTCATGTAGCAACATCACTACATGCCAAACTCGAGATGTGCTCGTGGCCCTTTTGCTAGCTTTTCATATACCAAATATGATAATATAGGACGAGAATAGATGACAAATGTATGTGACTGGTGAAAACATGATAATCATGAGATTCCTGACATGTAACAACATGACTACATGCCATGCTCATGATACACTCACGGCTGTTTCGCTAGCTTCAAATGTACCAAATTCGATATTACGTGACGCGAACGGAAGACATAGCTAAATGACATGTCCAAACATGATGATCATGACATGCGTGTCATGTAACAACATGACTACGTACCGCACTCATGATGCGCTCGCGGCCTACTCGCTACCTTCAAATAATACCAAACAAAATTTGGTATTACCTCACGTGAATGGATGAAGAAGGTATGTGACTCGGGCAAACATGATAATCATGAGATGCGTCCTATGTTAGAACATTAATACACGCCACACTCAAGGCAGGCGCCAATACACTTCGACGTGTGCCGGCGCGTGTGCGCGCTGGCGTTCGTTTTTTGGCGTCACGGCGGCGATGCTACGCATGGCACCGATATCCCACTAGTAGAGATCAGTGGATCTGCCCACTGACCTTCATTGTGGATCTGCATGTCATGTACTCACAGGCGCATGCCGCGCATCTTTGCTTTGACGCATGCGCGTTTGAACGCACACAGCGTCCCTTTGTCACGAAGAGAGGCAGATGAGGTGCTGTATAAGTAACGTCGTCGGCGCGAAATAGAACATGTCGCATTTCGCGCCGATTGCCACCGGGCCGCGCTGACGGACGCTGGTCGCGCCTGGCGTCACACTATGGAGCACTCGCGTTTTGCTGGCGTGGCGTCGCTGCGCCTAGCCTGTGCGTGCGTCAACGTTTCGTTGGAGTATACTGGGCCCTTCATGACGCGCTTGCGGCCGTTGCGCTAGCTGCACATGTATGAAATTTGGTATCATGGGAAGTGAAAAGACGACGAACGTAAATGACACGTCCAAAGCTCATAATCATAATATGCGTTTCATGTTAAACATGACTACATGCCATGCTCATAGCGTTCTCGTGGCCGTTTCACTAGTTCCATATCTACCAAAGTTGGTATCAAGTGACGTCAATGAATGACGAAGGTAAACGAAACCTCCAAACTTGATAATGAAGGCATGGAAGTCATGTACGGCATAATTTACCTCCGCCTCTTAACGTTGTGCTAATTTTAAAGTGACCTATCACCCTTCCTCATTCGTGCTTGGCATATCATCGATTCCCACTGTGCATGGGATCTGCCAATTTTTTGCCTAATTCTGCGCACTAGCTTGTGGACACACGCGGCCTTATGAACAACTAGGCCAGTGAAATGAGGGAGCCTTGAGGTTCCCGCCGCCCGTTGAAATGTCTTTGAATGTTGAAATATAAACTATGAAAGAGACACAATGCATGCAATCTTCTGAGAACGCTGAGTAGATTTGAGCTAGATTTAGAGAAGTTTTATTTTTATAGATTGTTAAATTGACGAACATTTTTTGTTTTTTGATGTTTCTAAAACAAACTTTACCACTTCAAAAATAACTGGACAGAAGAAAATTCAGGAGATAACTGTTGACATAAGGGACTATCAATGCTGTAAATATTGTGAAGCTATGACGTTCACAAAAGCCAAAATTGCGCTCAGAAAAGGAGTGAGTTTACATACTGTATTTGAGTTTTTAGAAACACTTAAGGAGCCCGTATTCGGAGAAGATCAAGTGGGTTGTTTCTTCATTACTTCTACGTGCGCTATGCAAAATGATAGTTACAACATATAGCTTGCGTCACTGTTAGCATATCCGCGAATTCACGTGAACACAATTTTTGTAAAATGGTTCGTAAAAGGCTGAGGTCTTGTTGGGCCCCGGCATAAAACACTTTCATGTTAAAACTAACTACTGACTTGGCACAACCGTTCACTGTCCACCCCGCATATATACAGCTGTTTACTTAAGGCTCTATGGGCACTGCCATAAGCCTCTCTGCGCTGTTGCTAACATAGAGTTTACTAAAATTAACTAGAGGGGACTCTGTCACCGCGATCGTTCAGCAACCATAGAAATGATTGGTAGTACACACATTAGCATAGGGTTTGTACTTGCGGGCGGCGAATCGTACTTGCGGCTCCGTTTATTGCTGTGTTTCGGTTTGGTTTCGAAAAAAAGATTGAACGTTTTTTAACTTCGTGACTCGATTTGGAAAGGTAAGTCTAAAAGAATAAGTTGGTGAAGTGTAACCGCTGAACATTCACTTATTTTTGTTTCGTGTGAAAACAGCTCCAAGCCACACGAACACACATGGAGCCCAAAGCAGCCCAGAAGTACCAAGATTAGACAAACGTGTGTACTACCCATTATTGCCATGCTCGCTGAAGCATTGTGCGTTGCAGCTTCCATAGACACTAGCGCGCAAGAGTATAGTGTATATTAGCAAACGCCATGGTTGCTAACATGCCTGACCCCCCCCCCCCCCCCGTCAAAAAAAAAAATGCCAGCCTGAGCTGTGACGTCAGCTTTTGCGTTCCCGTGCAACCGCCCATAAATGAGGGGATCCCCCCCCCCCCCCCTCTCCATGCAAAAGGTCTATAGGCCCGAGATGTTGATCTTCAAGGTAGTGGTGGTGAGTTATACTGATGTTCTTGGTTTAGTAATAAATATTCGCAGCGTGTGTGTTCACTAAAAGCTGACTGTGGGTTTGTCAACTCAGAGCATTTTGTCTCATTGACAATAAGCAGTGATTGGCATGTTCGACTAGAAAACATTGGTTCATTACTGCGCGCTTTGCACCTCCCCAAGTTTTTCTCCTGCGCAACGCCACGATAAGTGCCACCGTCAACGCCACCACCACTGCAAGTGTTAGCGCCCACTGCTTCGCATCTACACATGGTTTTCCTTTAGCGGGACAACGTAAATTTTTCCACGCACTTACCATGTCATTCGTTGAATATCATAGCGACAACAACGAGAAAACTGCATGCTTTTGACGTCTACTTCGTAGTAACTCATGATATAGCCATCTTCCCATGGACATTGGAGGCTGTCCGGTGTAAACGCGTTGACAATACCAGGAGCTGATGTGCCGTCGTGCGAACAACCCAGCCTGCGTACCACACAATACAGAACACAAAATTTCAAAAAATATGTAGTATATTGAAATCATTAGCATCACGTGGTATCTTCTGAACAGTCGCAATGAATCTTGTGCGAACTTTGTGTTTCATGCAGCGGTGACGACGATAAATAATCACGCTTGAAGTGGGTATGCACCTAAGTAAATTGGTGATCGAGAACATGGTTCTGTAATGGTTCGGAGCATTGGACAACCATCTATCTAGTTACGCAATTCTCATTGTGGGACTACTGGTTGTTTCTTTGCTGTTCTGTAACGCGTTATTAGGCCTCTGTGGTAGCTCAGTGGTAAGAGCATCGAACGCGTTATTCGAAGGTATAACGCGTTTTACTCCTATTAACGCCATTGCTTTCCCAACTTCAAGTCTGCCTCAGGCAACTTTGCGATCCAGTCCCATCACCAGCATGGCTCAGCGGCAGAATAGAAGGTCGGCTCGCAGTGAACCCGGGTTTGAAGCCCACTCTGTCTTTGGTGTTTTTATTAGGGTTTGTTTCTTATTTCGTGCGATAGTTGTTACTGACACCAGCGGTGGCGGCGGCAGACAACTACGGCACCGCGCGTGACCCGTGTTGTGATCTTATAACAGCTTTTGCGGTAAAATGGTCACGAATAACGTTTTATGACACTGAAAGATGAGCTACGGTGCAAAGTTTTTGAAGTAATGGTTCTAAAAATGAGAAAAACAGCGCAAACATTAGACGCCATTTCATTTGCTTAGCTAGCTTAATCAGACACTTTCCCGTGAATCCCATTTCTTGTTTCTGAGGCGACAAAATGAAATAACCTGAAGGGGACGAACCCCACCTGTAACTAAAGGTGTAGTTTTGCATTAGAGGTTCATGTAAAAGGTGTGACGTTGCAGACGTGAAAACACATTTAATGTTAATCTATTTATAAAGTATAAAAATGTGTGAATAATATTTATTTCACCCTCATCCACATATGCAATTCTCTGGAGAACGAAGTAATGTGTTTCTTTGTGTACCACGTAGACGATAAAGAAGCAATTGACAGTTTACATTCACGTAGCACTCCTGCACTTTGGAGCGGTAGCTTTCAGCTGTTGCTAGAAATGTTGTTCCTGATTATAAGCGAGGCCCATATCCAGTGCATAGCGCGAAATATTTTCTCAACAACGCCATTGTGCTTTTTTGTAATCTTTGTCAATACATTCGTCAGAGTCGCGTCATTGCCATCATAGTTAAGCAAAGCTCAGGTGATCCAAATCAGTTCAGTTTGCTTGGCTTCATCATGCCTCACGATCAAAGCTTGCATAGTAAACTACAGTATGATGTTTGTACTAAATAAAGACAACTTACGCATGCGCCACCTCGTGTGTCATGGTACGAATCCCCCTGTAGCTATACGCCGTATCTTCACCGAGTTGCTGCCGGTTAGCAGTGCAAGCGGATCCAACGAAGGCATAGCCTGCATGTAGACGTCCCGCAAATATTTAGTGTGGATGTCATATGAATATTAAATCAGATGAGAGGAAAATGGAATATTGAAGTGATCGTAGAAGTCAATGGTTTGGCATGGAACGAGGACGAACAAAGAAGACACGAAGAGCGGTGAGACACGCAGCCTGAAGCAAAACAACGCCAGGCCTGTGTGAAAAGCGCAGCACAGTCAAAGCGAAAGCCAGACGAGCGGCCTTTTAAAGCCTTTTCTAGACACTCAATGGGTAACTGCTGCAAGTGCACTTGCTTGATGCCAACCGTGGCATTAATAATAAAACATTCAAGAAACTAGGCCAGCATTCGCTAAGCAATTTTTGTCATTCTTTTGAGAAGCGTGGTATCCGCTAAACTATTGCGAGGAATATGTGCCAAATGTTCTTGCATTGACTGACGATGAGGAGGAATTATGCCTGAAGCGGGTATGCGCCACAATTAATAGCTGAACAAACAAGCTGTTGTATTACGCTCGAGCATTGGACGACCCACTCGTTACGCTATTCGCATTGTGGGACGACTGCTTTTTTTTTCGTTGTTTTAATACGCCTTATAAGTCGTATTAACGCGATTGCTTCAAGCCTGCCTAAGGCAAGTTTGCCAAAACGTCCCACGCAACAGCGAGGCTCAGTGGCAGTATATTAGGCTGCCACACAGTGGAAGTGGGTCAGAGGACCACTGTGTCAGTTTTTGGGGGGCGAAGCTCCTCATGGCGTGACTTGGGCGTCCCTCGTATGTAACCACCAGTGGCACATTCCCGAAATAGGTATAACACTTGACCTCCAAGGTGGTGCCAGTGAGAGATTTCTTCTGTGCGTTGTTTAACAATAAAAAATAGTGCTCAATGTACATGCCATTGGCTGCTAATGGGGAATGAGAGACATGAGCATTCGGCTTTTAGTCAACGCGGACGCTGCGATCCCCATTAGCAGCCATTGGCATGTACATTGAGCACTATCGGACAAGAAAGGGATGCTACATTATACTCGCTGGGTGTAACCTCCTTAGCTTTAGAAAGGTTTGGCGAGCGTTCAGCCGCAGTGCCATGAATACAATGAACTTGTATATACCATGAATGAACTCAAGGTGGTTAAAAATGAGAAGTAGATACGAAGCGCAAGCCGTAAGAAAGTAAAAGCCGAATTCTCCTGTCTCTCATTTCTCATTAGCAGCCATTGGCATGTAAATTGAGCCCTATCTGACAGGGAAAGGTTGCTACGCTATACTCGCTGGGCGTAACCTCCTTGGTTTTCGAAAGGTTTAGCGAGCGTTTGGTCGCAGTGCCATGAATACAGTGAACTAGAATATACCATGAACTCGAGGTGGTTAAAGGTGGGAAGTGGACCCGAAGCGCAGGCCGTAAGAAAGTGTGCGTGTGCCACCTCTCGTTTAGTCCTTGGAATGTCCGCTGGATGGCGGTGCTTCTATATGGGGAATATATGATAAAAAGATGCGAGATGGTGAGACTTGGAGTGTTGAATAGATGAACGAACGGACACACAAACAGATGCATGGATGGACGCATGAACGGACGCAGGGGCGGATGCATGAAAGAACGCAGGGATGGGCGCACAAACAGACGCATGGACGGTCACACCGACGGACGCATGGACGGACGAATGCTTCGCTCCACTCTCCATCATTCACTCCGTGGATATGCTGCCATTTTTTTTAATGCGAAGAGTTTCTTGGCAAACTTCGGCGACATTGAACACCTATCTATCTAGCCGCCTACGACTTTTAGCTGTCCTGGTTGTTTGAATAATGGTAGCGATACCATACTTGGTATGGCATAACTTGACTGTATGACGAGCATATATGACTACAGGTTTTCCCTCTCACATAAATTCAAGTGCCAGGTTAAATAATCTGCACGCCATTGAAATAATCTGAGTGCTGTGCTATTTAATTGTTGTGCCGAACATTTATTACAAGCGCCAACAAATTTAATCCAAGCGCAAACTCACTCAGGCCGCGTGCCATTGAGTTTAATCTAAGTGCCACCGTGTTTAATCCAACTGCCAATGACTTTATTTCAGGTGCCAGCCAGTTTATTCCACGCACAAAAACCAGAATACTGGGCCTAAAAATGGCAGTGCAGTTGAAATTCAGTTCCTACAGTATAAAAGACAATAATCGAAAGGTAGAATAAATCATTATTTATTGTATTCGTCGATAGTATTCGTGAAAAAAAATTACTGCCGTGGTTCGCTTGAGCCGTGTTCGGAGTGCTTATACTTTGGTATGCGCAAGTTTGTATAATGAGTGCTTCGCCCAGATTAACTATATTACAATGAAAACGAAAAAAAAACGCAGGAACAGTTTACTAAATATTTTACAGTGCAATGAAATTCAGTGTCCGTCACTAAAGCTCATTATCAGCTTTGGCACACACTACAACATTACATGACCAGGACAGGTCATGTAATGCGAAGGACGCACTATGTTTATTGGAGTGCCGGAATACATACCAAGATATCGAAAACCTGGCCGTGGGCAGTGATGGGTCAATGTCAGCTACATAATCAAGAAATTAGTAGGCCGTCGCGCGGCACTGTGAATTAGAGATAATTCCAATATGTTTTTGTTCTGCAGTGCACAAAAACGTAAAACTGATCAACCTGATGTGGCAATGGAAGTTTCATCTCACATTATTGTTTGCTCTTATCTTTTTATTAAAACAAAATTGAATGTCTCCAATGATACGAACAGTACTGATTGTTTGTTTAGCTTGGTAGTTTTGTGACGTACTTGACCAATGCGATGAAACTAACACAGAGGAAACAAAACGATAATAACGTGCAATTGACCTTCTCTCATCGCACATTGGAAGCTTTCGGATGCAGTGCAATCACTAAAATATTAGTTCTGTTGTTCCCTCTCTCTCTCTCTTTATATAGATATATATATATATATATATATATATATATATATATATATATATATATATATATATATTGCCACAGGAAATTACCATTGTTCCGCGCAACGCGGACGTTGGGAACCAGAGAAACGCTAACGGCACTACTACGAGTGACGAAGCCAGCCGCAATGCACGAGCCGGCCCTGCATGCGCCCGGTAGTTGTTGTTGTTGTTGTTCTCTTATTGTAAGTGGCGCATACCCACTGTGGGGGATTGGCCAAGAATCGAGTGGTTTTAAAATTTACTGTTCCGATTTTGAATGATGGAGGTTTAACAGAAAGATTACCGATAGCCTAGGAAAGTGTGTTGCTTAATGTAATGAATGCAAATAATTACATAAACGAATTTATTCTTAGAATAGAGCAATAATATGATTTTATACGTATATAATTATGTGGACCTGTTAGGATAATAAAACTGGTTAATTAGTCAACCTACTCCGCTGAACAGCCAACAAGCGTGAAGAAGAGAACGAGGGTGCTCGAGGCAGAGGCTCACGAGGACTACTGCCCTTGGCTTTTCTTGATTGCTGTGCGTCGTTCGCTTTGGGCACAAGTTCACCTTGAATAAACCGCGTAAATAGAACATCGTTGTTGTGAGGCTACTACATTCGTTACATTTTCTTGTGGAGGTGCGGGGTAGATGATTCCAACCCTCACGAGAGAGCGAAGTCCAAGTCCTGACCATCCGCAAGCCTTGGTGCTTACGCCGGTGCACCAACGAATCACTCGCCATGTTCGAGGAGATTCACCAGAATTTGGACCACTTCCCCCTGTGCTAAGGGCATCAGCGACGGAAACAAGAATCGCCACCACCATGACTAGCCAAGTTGCACCATCACAGCTCATTGTCAGCCAGTCCGTCATACCGAAGGTGTTCCATGGTCACCCGTTCAAGGATGCCGAAGACTGGCTGGCTCATTTCGAGAGAGTGGCGAACATAAACCAATGGAACGAAGCAGGCAAGTTGCGCAACGTATACGTCTCTTTGGAAGACGCAGCGCGAGTGTGGTACGAAAACCACGACGCATCTTTGACGTCCTGGGAAGAGTTCCGGCGGCAGCTACTGTGTATGTTTGGCAACAATTATCGCCGGCAAAAGGCAGAAGCAGCTCTTCATGCACGGAATCAACGCACAAATGAGACTGTCGCTATGTACATAGAAGACATGTCCCACCTGCTCAAGCGAGCTGATCCCAACATGACGGAAGACAAGAAGGTGCGTCATCTCGTGCATGGGGTAAAACAAGAGCTGTTCGTGGGACTCGTTCGCAATCCGCCGCGCACTGTTGCTGAGTTTCGGTCGGAAGCAACAACAATAGAAACGACGCTGCAGCATAGAGCCTGCCAATACAATCACGACGTAGCCTGTACATCAGCAGTGGTCTTCTCGGCAAACGTGTTCGATAATCTTGACACTCTGCGGACGCTCGTCCGGTCAGTTGTCAGGGAGAAACTACGCAAGCTGCAGCCACCCGCTTCACCGGAACTGTCTATTGCGGATGTTGTCCGAGAAGAAATTCGGCAGGCCATACGGGAGCCGCAAAGGGATGCACCACCGACACGACGCGCAGTAACTTATTCTGAGGTGCTCAGGCGGCCTGCTGTCCATTGTGCGCCTATCGAGACACCTGGTACTTACGCACCGACAACACATAACCCGTGCCATATCGTAGAGGCAACTCGCAGCTCACCTCTTCCGTCAGAGACAAGACCTAGGAAAAGCGATGTATGACGAGATGGGGAACGTAGGCCCCTATGCTTCCACTGTGGAGAGGCTGGCCATCTTTACCGGTTTTGCCGATATCGTCAGGCTGGTCTTCGAGGATTTGCGGTCAACGCACCGTGTCCGCCAAACGGCGAAAGGCCGTCCGACATCGAGGAATACCTGTGCTCACGTCAGAGCTTCGACCTGCATCGTAGTCACCAACCGCGGCCACCATCCCCTCTACGTCAGCGCTCGCCAAGCCCACGTTCTTTTCCAAACGCACCTAGGCATCGTTCGCCTTGTCCAAACCCGGGAAACTTAAGTGGACGACCAGTGGAGGGGAG